CCAAGCTCGGACCTAGTAAAAAGTTTGAGTTGATTATCAGTTGACTTTAAGCCAGTAAACAGTAAATGAGCTGGAGCTCATACCTCATTTAGTACTGAGCTCAATCGACTCGTCGCTTGCACCTACTAGGAAGGGCTACTAATAGAATAAAGCCTCATAAGGCAAGTGCCTCTTTAATCAAAGGCGCTGTATAAGATGAGTTGTCGTTCAATCTGAACTCATAGGTCTTGCTTATTAAAACAAGCTTCGATTAGGATGGAAAATAATACAAAAGAAATAAATAAGTGACTATCACTATATAGTATCCGATCATTCTGATCAATTTATCAGATAACGGTATCTTGTTATCATGCTGCCTGCCTTATACTCATGATGAGTTATCCCTTATGACTCCAATTAATTATTAGTTCCTTAAACTACTCCTTCGAGTGAATCAGTGAGTCACCGCGACTCCTTATAACTCACAATCAATCGATGCCCGAAACATCTTATGACTCTATAAGTGGAATAAATGAATCTTGAGGGATAGTATATATATCACATCCTTTTTTAGTTAAATTGAGTATCCACATTCGTGTATGGCAATAATCAGTCATATCAGGTAATTGACTTTAACAAAGCGACTCAATAATTTAACACACCATAGTACTATTTCATCATTAAATAACAGTACCTTATAGCGCTTTTTAATCGATTTTCAATATTTCCTCTCATTATATATTAATTCATTACACATACTTACCTAATAAAAAATGTCAATGAAATTATATCATATTTTCGAAAATGATCAAGATCTATACTATACCAAAGAGTTATTACAGTATGAATGCTATACAAAATTAGGAGATTAATATATTGTTTAGCAATTAGATAGAGATAAAATCTATAGAAATCAAATCCTCAAAATAAAGTAAGAAGATAGTTACTTTCAAATAGTAACAAACTAGTAACACAAAAGATTGACCAAAAATCATCAGAAAACCTTTCTCTCTCATCTTCTCTTCCTCTTCTCCACCTTCCTTCTTCTTCCTCCTTTAATTTATTCCCTTGCAAGGCATACGAGCCGATGTGGAGAGAGAGCGTGAGAGTGGAAGGATATTTATATTTAATATATATATATATGGCTGACACGCACAACTGTATTGCTCGTATTTTGAACTTTGCACAATCAAAATTTTTTTTGGAGTCCATTATTTAAGCTCCAAATCGATGTAATCCATCTTTGCATGAATGGTGTATTTGATAGCATATTAATCTAGCATAAATGATTTTTTGTAATTTGTAGTCCAGTCTTTCCGAGCATCGTTGAAAAGTACACATTAATGTAATTTGATAGCTATCGATACCAGTTAGGATTTACAGATGACCCGTTAGGTGGTCCATTTACAAAACCAAATCTGGATATTTAAAGTAACATGTTTTAGTTTATGGGTATTTTTTTTGTAATTTTCTCAATTCTAAAATATTTATTTAAATTAACTAAAGAATTAATTCAAATTACCTTCGTCTGCGATCAATTCCAGCGAGGAAGCCACGGCCGAAGAGAACAGCCTCCTCCGGTTTCTCCAGTCAAAACCAAGCCGCCAAATCCTTCTGATCAAGAAACAGCAACGCCTCGCTACCTTTCCTTTACTGCGGCCAAAAAATTGTACCGCAAGCTTGCCGTGCAATCACCAGGCTTCGTCTGAACTTCTGCTTGCTCTGTGCTCCAAGCCTTCACGTAATCAGCTCCGGTGACTGACCCAAGCAATCCCGAACTCCGAGCAAGCGACCTGCCTTGTGCCACGCGCGAGCCCACCTCCTTCCTCCTTCACGATCGCCACCAGGGCTCTGATACCAAATGTAGAAACTAGTGAGGAAGATGTTGTTTGATCTTCTTGCAAGATCTTGAGAGGGAGTGAGGAGGGAGAGGAGAGGGGAACCGTGAGCCACAAATCATAATTCCTTTATTCCATGGCTTAGCAAATACAACCTAAAGACTCCTATTAATAGGCACAAAAGCCATACACAAAGCAACACACAATAGCTACATAACCCAAACAAGAAACCTACACAAAAGCAACCTAAATCTAGGAACAAAAAACACAACAATAAGGATACTTATATAGTTGATAGTACTTATTTATTTCTTATAATGTAATTATTCACCCTAATGAAGCTTGTTTTATAAGAGCAAGACCTCATGAGTTAGATGAGACAACTCATCTTAACAGGCCTTTGATTAAAGAGGCACTTGCCTTATGAGGACTTTATTCTATTAGTAGCCCTTCCCTAGAGGTGCAAACGAGTCGAGTTGAGCTCAAGTACTAATGAGTATGAGCTCAGCTCATTTACTGTTTAACTGGCTTAAAGTCAAGCTCGATAATCAACTCAAACTTTTTTTACTAGGTAGAGCTTGGCTCGTTAACCCGTGTTCGAATAAGATGCTCAAATTTGGCTTGTTTGTAGGCTAGTTAGCTCAATATGAAGTGTATATTTTTTTAAAATTTCTTTAATAAACTTGGGACAAAAGTGATGATGGTGTTAATCTTGGCAATCAACACAATAAAATTAATAGCATTTTTTGCTTTTTTAACACCATTAAAATTTTATGTAAATAAAAAAAGCAAGCATTAAAACTATTGATGTATGTGGTATCATAAGTTATTGAAATGATATTATAAACGATCTTAGATGCTTGGGAGACTCAAAAACTCAAAGCTTTCACATGTCAAAGTTTACTACAATATTAACTAATTTTCCCCTAAAATATTGCTTCATTTTACCATTAAATGATCCAAAACTCACAAACCATTTTGAAACTCAAAGTTTTAATCCAAATCTCACAAACTCTAAACTCTAAATCAAATTTAAAACTCAAAAAAATTTTCTTTGAGTAAGAAGATAGACGACCCTCAGTAGACAATCAGATCGCGATCTATCGATCTTGAACAAACCGAAGCCTTGGTATTGTTGCTGCGAATTTTCATAAACTATAGCTTAACAGTCTTGCAAATCTCAAGAAGTTATTAAGATAAAGGAGATAAATGACTTACCTAATTGCCACTCGAAATCGAAACCATGCTTTGGTCTGCCTTCCGCCATCAAGTTCGATGTGCTCGATGAGTACTCAAACCGAGCTTCACCTTTCTTGAACTCGAGCTTGATAATACAACCAGCTCGAATATCTGCTCGAGCTCAAGACTTGATAGGCTTGACTTGCGGGCACGTTAGCAAGTCTAGTTCAAGTTGGCTCACGCACCTGCTTAACTCATTTGCACCCCTATCATTCCAAGTGAGGCCATCCATGTTCAAGCTATAGTAGGCATAGGCCTAGAGAGCCATCAGCCGCAACATCGTCAATTACATAATGAATATTTTGTCAAAAGAAGCTTGGAAGTTGGATGACATTTATTTTAAATAAACATTTTTATCAAAGAAAGTAGGAATGAAATTTATTTCAAATAGGATAGTTAGACATGAATTATTAAGGACTATGACTCATTTTCTATTGTACAGAATAATTTCACGAGAAATAAAATCAAGGCAGAAAAAACGAATATCTTCAAGGAAATAAAATTAAGGCCTTATTTTTTAAAATAAAAATATTAGGATATATTTATATTCTGCCCAGTGCTCTGAATGTCAAAGTGAAGAAATAAAATATAATAATAAAATCGAATATATCTTTTAAAATTTAATTTAAAAATTTTAATAAACCAAGGTTACCACTCTGTGAAGGGAAATTATTAGGTGCAGAGTCCGGACGTAGCTTTAAGTCTGGAGTTCAATAAAATCACTACATTTTGGCATGTACATGTGGATATTAATTTCTATTTTTTTTGTTCTTTTCTTACCAGCCTGACCGACCCGGCCCAAAATAATTATGTTTGAATTAAGGGTTTTGAATTGACTCTTTTTTCAAATGAAATACCGTGAAACTTTCATAATTTTTAGGATTTTAGCTATAAAAATATTTTCATAGCTGCTGAGAAAGAAGCAACGAGGAAAAACCGACGAAGATGACGATTGGTTTGGAGAAGAAAAAGCTGATGAAGTTGATGCTATGCAAACATCCACGAAGAGGAAGAGAAATAACTAAGGTCGAAAGAAGAACATGTTGTAGGAATAGTTTTTTTTTTGTACATTTAGTGAATATGTTGGGGGTTCCGAAGGGGCAACGCCCCTTGGTGGGAGTTCGACGGGACAACGTCATTTGTACTCCATGATTTTCAATAATATTTTTGTTCATTTTAAAGTTTTCTCATCTTTTTTTCACAACTATGTATTACAAAAACTTTAAAGCTTTCTCTGCTTGTTTATATACCCTAGCTTCTTGATGCAACTCGGTATTATTCAGTACCCCTCATGTACTGAGCAGTACCGAGCATTAATACTAAGCATGATATCGAGCGCTGTAGAGAGGTACCGACAAGTACTGAGCGGCCTCCTCCTAACCAATCTTTATCTCATCGTCTTTTCCTTATCCAGAGCAGCCTTCATCTTCTTCGGCTTCTCCTCATCCAAACAAATATTCATCTTCATCACCTTGACCTCCTCCAAACTAGTCTTCATCTTCATCGATTTTTCCTCATTTTTCTTTCTCAACAACTATGAAATATTTTTTGAGCTAAAATTATAAAAATATGTTTTTCTCATTGTATTTCATTTAAAAAAAGAGCGCCAATGCTCAGTCCTAAAATTTGAACAGGATTTATTCTGAATTGGATCAGGGCTGATAAAAAAAAATTAAATAAAAAATAGAAAAAAATTATCCAAGGTGTCTCAATTTTATTAGACTCCAAACACTCCCAACTCCACGAGCTTTTATTATGGTACAACCACCAGATGCGAGAAGTGTCCGGTTAAATACTGGATAACCAACAATATTGAGTGCTGATACCGAAATATTTATCAACCAATAAAATGACCTGACATATTTTTATTGATCTCTAAAGATCTTAATAATAAATCCAACTTCGCACCTAATAATTTCTCTACAACGGCACGCGATGTCACGTGTTGGAAATGTACTGGAGTAGCCTGCACCGCTTACCTTCGCGAACGCATTTTAGATCCACGCGATTCTCCAAGCGAGTAGGTTGCAACAAACAGCAGAGAGCAACAAGGCGAGAGATGCAGTGCTGGTCTTCTAGCCGTGGCACTACCTCCTGCTCAACCCTATTCATACCCTCTCTTATTCCCCATTGCCAAGCCCGTTCTTTCTTTTTCAAAGGAAGGAAGCCGTTGTCTAAAACCCTATTCCCTCTTCTCTTCCCCGCGCAAAATCCCTCCTTTTGCCATTCCTTACCTTTAAGACCTACCCCTTTTTCCAGAGTTCCCCACGTTCCCTTCTCTTCCGATAGTGGTAAGGAAACCGAGGTTGAGTTACTCGGCAAGCCGTCTCTTGTCTCCATCCCCGTTGGAGAAGAAGTCCCCGCTTCTTCGAAATCCGTTCATCTCGACGATGCTTTGGCCCCGTTCCTAAAATTCTTCAAGGCCAGTGATTTTGATGAAAAAGACCAATTTGGTGAAAAGTGCCAAGAAGCGTTGGATGGAGAAATCTCGAAGGAAGAGAAGGAAACGCTAGGGGAGAAAAAACGAATTGGAGTGGAGTACTACGATCCAAAACCTGGCGATTTTGTGGTTGGCGTGGTAGTATCGGGGAATGCTAATAAGATTGACGTGAACGTCGGTGCTGACATGCTGGGCACGATGCTTACCAAGGAGGTGCTACCTTTCTATGACGCGGAGCTGGCTTATTTGTGCTGTGATTTGGGAAATGATGCAGAGGATTTCATGGTCAGTGGGAAGATAGGGCTGGTGAAGGATGAGGAGGCGATGAGAGAAGGAAAATTGACAGGGAGGCTGGTTGTGGAAATGGGTACGGTTCTTTTCGCCGAGGTTCTTGGTCGAACACTTAGCGGGAGGCCACTGCTTTCTTCCAGGAGGATGTTCCGCAGGGTTGCATGGCATCGAGTGAGGCAGGTTTGCGTCTCAATCTCTTTATAGTTATAGCTAAGCAGCCATTTTAAACTTGCATGATTGTTCCGGTAAGTGCACTCCAAAGAATTGTAAGTTATGTTGGATTGCTATCTGTCCATTAAGCCTTAGGGCATCTCCAACCGAAATTCTCATTTTTCACTGCAAAATGTAGTAAAATAAAAAAGTGCCGTGATTCATCTCCAGTGGAATACCATTTTGCCCCCAAATCATCGCTCGTTTCTTTCGCACCTTTCTCAGACGAGTTCGGTAGAGAGAAAGAAATGGCGCAAGTGAACAGTGCGACGCCAATATTGGCGTTGCACTGTTCAACTGCGATCAAATGGCAGAAGGAATGATGTTCGGTTGCGACGTTTGAGGGCCTCCATTCGGCTGTTTGCCGAACGGTTGGAGATGGTCTTAGGCCGAACCGTATGGTATAGGTTTTTTGAGAATAGCGTAAGGCACAAGAATGAAAGAGATTCAAAAGGTTTTCTCTCTGTTGAGTATAGTTGTTGAAGTGATGGTAGAGTGTGTTATGTGATCAGTGGCTCATGAGTCAATGATCTATACACATTTCAAATGATTTCTACAAGCATTTAATCTAATAGATATTAGAAACTTACTTGAAAGTGCAAGAGAAGAAGTTGTAGGTGATTTCTCAAGGGATACTAGGAGTTGTTTTAGTTTATCAATATCTTTTTTGTTGAGTTCTCTGAAGCTGGAAGTTTGTAATGTTCCATTTTGTCCACTTCTTTTATTCCACTCCTTGAGGGCTTTCCATGTAACTTCTAGCATATCTCATTTGTGTATCTTGATTTCTTGCAATAGCTACATCAAAGGATGTCTTTGTCTTAAGGTTTTGAGAAATCATTATCTCTTTCCTTCAAATGCACCTCTTTGGCTTTTACCTTTGTTGAACCTTCAGCAATCTTTTGTTCTACATTACCCCTTGTCAATTTTCCTCAGCATGAATGAGAGAAATAGTTTCATAGTAAGGGTATCTTCTCTTTGCCAAAGATCTGAACTCTAACATGTTCAAATTCCATATTTAATCCTACAAGAAAGTCAAACACTCTTTCTTTCTTAATAAAGCTTTTTAGGATGGTAGCATGTTTTGGACACTTGGTCTCTATGCATCTGTAGTGATCAAAATAAAGCTTTTTAAGATAGCGATATCTTCTGGACACTTGATCTCTATGCATTTGTAGTGATCAAGTTCTTGTGGTATACTCTATCTTTCTTATCAAAGCTTTTTAGGATAGCAATGTCTTATGGACACTTGGTCTCTATGCATATGTAGTGATCAAGTTCTTGCCACAAGTTTTGAAGGAGAGTGGTATATTCAGTCATGGCCTTGCTTCCTTGTTTTGTGCTTTCAACCTTGACTTTAATTTCATAGATTTGTGTAGTATCCTGAGCTTTTGAGAAGGTTTGTCTTGCGGCATCCCAATGTCTTTTGCAGTTGATAGGAACATGAAAGTATCGCTAATTTCTGAAGTCATGAAATTTCACAACCATGCCATGATCATGGAGTCTGCTTCATCCCATATCAAAAAATTTGGATATTCTTCTTTCTGTCTTACCCCAAGGAGGTGATTCATCTTTCTTTTCCCTTTCAAGAGGATCATCACAAATTGAGACAACTTCAAGTAATTCTTCCCATTTAAGCGATAGAAAGGTTGCATATTTTGGAGATATCCTCTTACTTGTTGCACTATGGAATCCTCCATTTGGTTAAAAGCTTTGGGAAGAATTTGCTTCAGACACTGTGGCGGCAAAGGGTTGCTATGAATGCTATATCAAGCAGGGCATCAATGAAGACTGCATTGATTATAGATGGGATAACAAAAACAAAGGAAGGCCGGCAATGAAGGCACGATAGTAGAAAAAAAAACCCTCAAAATTCCAGCAACAACAATGAAAGCTTTTATAGCATGTTAAAATAGGAGAGGGAAAAGCTTAATTTTATTGCACAAAATTATCCTTATTTATAGATATACAAGATATCTATACAAGTACTTAATTTAAATTTACACGTCCCATTTATCCTTATTAGTTGAGCAATACCACCTTATTTCTTCTCTTATTTTGAACCACTTTGTTAATTCAAGTTAAAGGAATTTGTTTTAACATTGGAATAATATATTTGAATATATTCTCAAAATGCTCAACTACATTATTTAAAATTTTAATTTGTTTTTGAGGATTGGTATGAATGTTTGAAAAACATTTTTTCCAGGAAGTATATCGCTTAGATTTGGGTTTACCCATGCATTTTTTCACTTCACCCGAATACTAGGCACTTGTTAGAATTATTACTTAGCTGCTTTCAGACATCTCCCCAATTGGTAATCTTAATGTGGCTGGCGAGATGCAATTATTTGTATATAAAAAATTAGTGTCATATAGCTTTGTTTCTCCCTCAGGCTCAAGAACATGTATGATTTCTAATGCAGATAAAACAATTAAATGAGCCCATTGAGGTTAAGATTTTTGAATGGAACACGGGTGGCCTTTTAACCAGGATTGAGGTAAGAATTTATGTCTTTTTATTTCTATTTATTTGTCTAACAATTATATTACTAGTATCACAGAAACATCATTAAGCCAATGTGTATGTTGTTTTCAGGGTTTACGTGCATTCCTCCCTAAAGCTGAGCTGATGAATAGAGTTAACAACTTTATGGATTTGAAGAAAAATGTAAGCTGCCTAAAGATTTGGCTATATTATTGATCTTTTATAGTTTGGCATTTCTTTGGAGCACTTTCTGTATCAGGCTATTAGTCTTCATTCTTTTTTCTGATTCATATTTCTTTTATCAATGATTGGAGGTAAGATGCCATTTTTATCCCATTATTTTATTTAATAATGTTTGATTCTTAGTGCAGGTTGGTCGAAAGATGTTTGTCTCTATTAGTAGAATTGATGAAACTACTAATGTCTTGATAATCAGCGAGCGAGAAGCCTGGGTTAGTTCATCTATATTTGACTGATCACTTATTTGTTTATCGTGACTACGATGAGTTCTACTTTATCTATCAGGTTCCTTGTTTGTTTGATTTTGTTAATGCTTACATTGGCAGATAAGATTAGATAAAGTCATCTTAGATGGTTTGATCACATAAAGCGTTAGCCTTCTGATGATCCAGTTAGGAGAGTAGATGTATTATATTTGACTTATATTAAGAAAGGTAGAGTTAGTGATGTGAAACCACATGCAAAAGGAGCTTGTTAAGAAATTTTAAGAATCATCGACAATGAAATCTCAATTAATAACTTATTGAGATAACAAACAAATTCATTAAAGATTCTTGGTTTTCAACTCGCTTAGGCGAAGGGGTACATGTAGATTAACTAATCCTTGGAGATAAACAAAAATAGTAGCAAAGCTAAGAGCTATTAAACAACAATCCACCACTTAATAATGAGAAATTTCACCTTGGGGATTATTCACTTGACTACACTAGGCTTGGCGAGAGAAGATCTTGCAACTAGAATTGAGATCACCACTAGGAAGAAGATGGCGGAAGTCTTTGTGCACGGGAAAGTAGTCGGAGTAGGTGGGGGTGGCGGATGTCCGATGATGATCCAACGACTTGGTGGAAGATGGATCTCAGGATCCGCCATTCAACATTGAAGCGGAGAGGGGAGGCGTCGTTTTCTCCTTTCCTTGACTTCTCAATTCGAGGGAGAAGCAAGATGGGGCGGCGGGAGCTGGAGGAAGAGGGGAGGCCGGCGGGTGCAAGGAGAAAGGTTAGGGTGGATAAGAGGGTTTTAGGGAATTATGGGATGGATTAATCAAAACTGAAATTTAATTTTAGTTTTTAGTAATTTAGGTGGGAATTGAATTGAAATTTGAATTTCAAATCAATTGGAATTAAAGCCTTAAATGGGAAATTAATGGGGAGCTTAATAGGGGGAGGGCCGGCGGTTTCAAGAGAGGAGAGGGAGGAGTTTTAATAACAAATCCTGAAATAAATTTCAGGTTTTGAAATTTGGGAGGGAGTTTTATTTGAAATTAATTTTTTTAATTTCAAATTGATGAGGGATTAATGGAGTAATTAAGGAGGGGGGGGAGCCTAGTAAGGCCGGCGACATCAAGAGGGAGAGGGGAGGATGTGGAAGCAATTTACAAACCTTCCAAATTTGCTTGTGTGCATGAAGAGGTTTGATTATGAAATCCACTTCGATTCAAATTTCGAAATGATTTGAATTTGAAAACTTTCCATATTTGACTTTGACAAATTTGGAAATTTTCAACTCAAATAATTTTGAAATTTCAAAATTCGAACAAGTGGGGAATGTGGAAGAGGGGAGCTTCAATCTTCTTCGGCTTCTCCTTTCCATTCCCAAAAAACCCAAAATTTTTTAAAATTTCATCTTCTACCTTGACTCCTCCAACTAGTCGTTCTCTTTCATCGATTTTTCCTCATTTTTCATTTCTCAACAAACTATGAAATATTTTTTGAGCCTTAAAATTAAAAATATGTTTTTCTCATTGTGTATTTCATTTAAAAAAAGAGCGCCACATGCTCAGTCCTAAAATTTGAACAGGATTTATTCTTAATGGCATTTCAGGGCTGATAAAAAAAAAATTAATATATAAAATAGAAAAAAATATATCCAATAGGTGTCTCAATTTATTAGGGACTCCAAACACTCCAACTCCACCGAGCTATTTCATTATGTACAACCCCAGATGCCGAGAAGCTGTTCCGGTTATAATACTGGATAGCCAACAAATATTGATTGCGATACCGAAATATTTATCAACATGAAATGACCTGACATATTTTTATTGATCTCTAAAGGTTCTTAATAATTAAATCCAACTTCGCACCTAATAATTTCTTCTGCCAACGGCACGCGATGTACAGATAGATGGAAATGTACTGGAGAGCCTGCCACCGGCTTACTTCGCTTACCTTCGCATTTTAACATCCACGTGTCTCCAATGCGTAAGTAGTTGCACACAAACAGCAGAGAGCAACAAGGCGAGAGATGCAGTGCTGGTCTTCTAGCCGTGCCACTACTCCTCGCTCAACCCCTATTCAAACCCTTCTTAATTCCCCCATTTGCCAAGCCCGTTCTTTCTTCTTCAAAGGGAAGGAAGCGTTGTCTGAAACCCTATACCTTTCTCTTCCCGCGCAAAATCCCTGCCTTTTGCCATTCCTACCTTTAAGACCTACCCCTTTTTCCAGAGTTTCCCCACGTTCCCTTCTCTTCCGATAGTGGTTTAAGGAAACCGAGGATATATAATCGGCAAGCCATCTCTTGTCTCCACCCCGTTGAGAAGAAGTCCCCGTCTTCTTCGAAATCCGTTCATCTCGACGATGCTTTGCCCCCGTCCTAAATTCTTCAAGGCCAGTGATTTTGATGAAAAGACCAATTGGTGAAAAGTGCCAAGAAGCGTTGGATGGAGAAATTTCTCGAAGGAAGAGAAGGAAACGCTTAGGGGAGAAAACAACGAATTTGGGTTGAGTACTACGATCCAAACCTGGCCGATTTGTTGCGTTGGCGTGGGTAGATCGGGAATGCTAATAAGATTGACAGTGAACGTCGGTGCTGACCATGCTGGCACGATGATTACCAAGGAGTGCCTACCTTTCTATGACGCGGAGCTGGCTATATTTGTGCTGTGATTTGGGAAATGGATTGCAGAGGTTTCATGGGTCAGTGGCGAGATAGGCTGGTGAAGGATGCAGGAGAAGCGCATGAGAGGAAGGAAAATTGACAGGGAGGCTGGTTGTGAAAGGAGGTACGGTTTCTTTTCGCCGAGGTTCGTGTCGAACACTTAGCGGAGAGCCACTGCTTTCTTCCAGGAGGATGTTCCGTCAGGGTTGATGGCATTCGAGTTGAGCGGTTTGCGTCTCATCTCTTTATAGTTATTAGCTTAAGCAGCCATTTTAAACTTGCCATGATTGTTCCGTAAGTGGACTCCAAAAGAATTGTAGTTATGTTGATTGCTTCTGTTTCCATTAAAGCCTTAGGCATGCTCCAACCGAAAGTTCTTCATTTTTCACTGCAAAATGTAGTAAACATCAAAAAGTGCGTGATTTCAATTTCTCCAGGGGGAATAACCATTTTGCCCCCAAATCATCGCTCGTCTTCTTTCGCACTTTTCAGACGAGTTCGGTGAGAGAAAGAAATGGCGCAGTGAACAGTGCGACGGCCAATCGATGGCGTTGCACTAGTTCAACTGCATCAAATGCAGAAGGAATGATGTTCGGTTTGCGACGTTTGAGGGCCTCCATTCCCGGACTGTTTGCCGAACGGTTGGAGATGGTCTATAGGCCGAACCGGTATTGGTATAGGGGGGGTTTTTTGAGAATACGTTAAGGCACAAAGAATTGAAAGAGAATTTCAAAAAGTGTTTTCTCTCTGTGAGTATTAGTTGGTGAATGGATGATAGAGTGTGTTATGTGAATCAGTGGCTCATGAGTCAATTGATCTCAACACATTCAAATGATTCTACAAGCATTTATAATTAGATATTGGAACTTACTTGAAAGTTGCAAGAGAAGAAGTTGAGGTGATTCTCAAGGGATACTAGGGGAATTGTTTTTTAGTTACTCAATATCTTTTATTGTTTGAGTTCTTCTTGAAGCTGGAAGTTTTGTTATGTTCCCTTTTGTCCACTCTCTTTTATTCCACCTTGGGGCTTTCCATTGTAACTTCTAGCATATCTTCATTTGTGTATCTTGATTTCTTTGCAATAGGCTACTCAAGGATGTCTTTGTCTTAGTTGAGAATCATTATCTCTTCCTTCTAAATGCAGCTCTTTGGCTTTACCTTTGTTGGAACCTTCAGCAACTTTTGTCTACAGTACCCCTTAGTCAAATTTTCCTCAGCATGAAATGAGGAGAAATGTTTCATAGTAAGGTATCTTGACTCTTGCCAAAGATCTGACTCTAAATGTTCAAATTCCATATTTCATCCTAAAGAAAGTCAAACACTCATCTTTTCTTATAAAGCTTTTATTAGGATGTGCATGTTGGACACATGGTTCTATGCATCTGTCAGTGATCAAAATAAGCTTTGTTAAGATAGATAGCGATATCTTCTGGACACATCTTGATCTCTATGCATTTGTAGTTGATTCAAGTTCTGGTTATACTCAATCTTTCTATTCAAAGCTTTTTAGAGATAGCAGTGTTGATGGACACTTGGTCTCTATGCATATGTAGTGATCAAGTTCTTGCCACAAGTTTTGAAGGAGGTGGTATATTTCAGTCCATGGCCTTGACTTCCTGTTTTGTGCTTTCAACCTTGACTTTAATTTCATAGATTTGTTGTAGTATCCTGAGCTTTAGAGAAGTTTGTCTTGCGCATTCCCAATGTCTTTTGCAGCTAGATAGAACATTGAAAGTTTATCGCTAATTTCTGAAGTCATGAAATTTCACAACCATGCCATGATCATGAGGTCTGCTTCTTCCCATATCAAAAAATTTGGACTATTCTTCTTTCTGTCTTACCCCAAGGCAGGTGATTCATCTTTCTTTTCCCTTCTCAAGAGGATCATCACAACATTGAGACAACTTCAGCTAATTCTTCCCATTTAAGCGATAGGAAGGTTGGCATATATTGGCAAGATATCCTGCCTTATTGTTTGCACTATGAATCCTCCAATTGGTTAAAAGCCTTGGGAAGAATTTTCTTCAGACACTGTGGCGGCAAAGGGTTGCTATGAATGCCTAATCAAGCAGAGCACAATGAAGACTGCATTGATTATAGATGGATAACAAAACAACAGGCAAGGCCGAATGAAGGCACGATAGTAGAAAAAAAACCCTCAAAATTCCTAGCAACAACATGAAAGCTTTTATAGCATGTTAAAATAGGAGACGGGAAAAGTCTTAATTTTATTGCACAAATTATCCTTATTTATTAGATATACAAGATATCATATACAGAGCTACTTAATTTAACATTTTTGTCCCATTTATCCTTATTAGTTGGCAATACCACTTATTTTCTTCTCTTATTTTTCTGAACCACTTTGTTAATTCAAGTTTAAAGGACATGTTTTAACATTGAATAATCATATTGATATATATTTCAAAATGCTTCAACTACATTATTTAAAATTTTAATTTGTTTTTGAGGATTGTCTATGAAGTTTTGAAAAACATCTTTTTCCAGGAGTATATCGCTAGATTTGGGTACCCATGCATTTTTTCACTCAACCGATACTAGGCACTTGTCTAGAATTATGTACTTAGCTTGCTATTCAGAACATCTCCCCTAATGGTAATCAGTTAATATGTGAGCTGGCGAGATGCAAATTATTTGTATAAAAATAATTAGTGTTCATATAGCTTGTTTCTCCCCAGGCTCAAGAACATGTATGATTTCTAATGCAGATCAAAACAATTTAAATGAGCCCATTGAGGTTAAAGATTTCTGAAAAATGAACACGGGTGGCCTTTTAACCAGGATTGAGGTAAGAATTTATGTCTTTTTGTATTTCTAATTTATTGCTTCTAACAATTATATTAACTAGTATCACAGAAACATTCATTAAGCCAATTGTGTCATGTTGTTTTCAGCGGTTTACGTGCATTCCTCCTAAAGCTGAGCTGGATGAATAGATGTTAACAACTTTATGGATTGAAGAAATGATAAGCTGCCTAAGGAATTTGGCCTATATTATTGATCTTTAAGTTGGCATTGCTTTGGAGCACTTTCTGGTATTCAGGCTATAGTTCTTCATTCTTTTTTCTGATTCATATTTCTTTTATCTGATTGGAGGTAAGATGCATTTTTTATTCCCCATATTTTATTTAAATAATGTTTGATTCTTAGTGCAGGATTCGGTCGAAAGAGTTTGTCTTCTATTAGTAGAATTGATGTGACAACTCTAATGTCTGATAATCAGCGACGCGAGAGGCCTGGGTTAGTTCATCTATATTTGATTGAATCACTCTCTGTGTTTATCGTGACTACGAATGTTCTACTTAATCTATCAGGTTCCTTGTTTGTTTGATTGTTAATGCTTACATTGGCAGATAAGATTAGGATAAAGTCATCTTAGATGGTTTGATCACATAAAGCGTTAGCTTCTGATGATCCAGTTAGGGAGTAGATGTATTGTATATTTGACTTATATTAAGAAAGATTGTGATGTGAAACCACATGCAAAAAGAGCTTGTAAGAAATTTAAGAATCATGCGACAATGAAATCTCAATTAATAATTATTGAGTAACAGCAATATTCATTAAAGTTCTTGGTTTTTCAACTGCTCTTAGGGAAGGAGTACATGTAGATAAACTAATCCTTGGAGATAACAAAAATAGTTAGCAAAGCTAAGAGCTAATTAAACAAGCAAATCCACCACTTAATATTTCCGAGAAATTTCACCTTGGGGATTATTCACATTACACACTAGCTTGGCGAGACGAATATCTGCAACTTAGAATTGGTGCACCACTAGGAAGAAGATGGCGGGAAGTCTTTGTCACGGAGAAAGTCATGTCGGAGTATGGTGGGGTGGCGGATGTCCGAATTGATGATCCAACGACTTGGGGGAGATGGATCTCAGAATCCGCCATTCAACAGTTGAAGCGGGACAGGGGAGAGCGTCGCGATTTCCACTTTCCTTGGCTCTCTCAATTCGAGGAGAAGCAAGACATGGCAGCGGCCGGAGATTGAGGAGAGGGAGGCCGGCGGTGCAAGGAGAAAGTTAGGTGGATAAGGAGGGTTTTAGGGAATTATGGGAATGGATTAACAAAAACTGAACATTTAATTTCTAGTTGAGTAATTTAGGAGGGAATTGATTTGAAATTGATTCCAAATCAATTTGAAATAAGCCTAATTGGGAGATTAGATGGGAGAACTTTCATGACGAGGGGTGCCGGCGGGTTCTGTAGACGGGGAGGGAGTCTTTATCTTCCATAATCTGAAATTATTTCAGATTATGAATGAATTAAGGGAAGTTATTTTTTGAAATTGAATTGATCAAGGCATTGATGGCATAAACTAGCATTAAGGGATTTCCCCCTTGTTGAGGCCGCGGCATGTAGAGAGGAGAGGAGGGATGATTATGCAGATAAAGCAATTTTCCAATTAGGAGAGGCCACCTAGGATATGAGACGTATTAGTTAACTCCTCATGTTCATTGATAATCGGGCATTGGATTAATCAATTCATTTCCTATTTGACTTTGGGCATTATGGAAATTTTGGAGCTCATATCAAATTTGAATTTTCGAAATTTGAAAAGAAAGGTGGATGATAGACAGGTGAGCTGGCAGTGGGCTTTTAGGGAGGAGTGCGAGGAGGGATGTGCCGGCGGCCAGAGGGAAGGCCGGCGGCTTTGGCCCCTTGGTTTGGTGAGGGCATAACGTTGGGCTTTCGGATTTGCTGAGCGGATGGGGAATTGGAGTTGGATAAGATGATGGAAATACAATAGAAGATAGAACAACCGCTAACCACGAGCCGCGGATCTCTTCTCGACTGGGGGCCATTGCGATTTGCTCTTGAGCTTACTCCCTGATTCTCCAAGCTCTCATGCAAAGAAGAGTAGAAACAAAAACACAATTTTTATTCATTTTCATTACCCCATTATATAAGAAATGGACCCATTATATAATAGGCCTAATAATGACAAAGATAACAAATAGACTAAAATCCCCTTGGCTACAATAGAGACCAAATACCCATAAGGTAAAAAAGGAAAAATTGAAATTGAAAAAAATAAAATAAAACTTACTATATCATAACATGACTAAAAATAAAACTCTTGATCGTCGGCGATCGATCCGGTGTCTCGATGTACCACGCGTCGCAACCTGACGATGTCGCCACAGTTTGACTTAAAAAGACTTTGGTAGAAAAGTATTAGAAATGATATTTTTTTATTAGATTTGAAGACCAAATTTGACTCCTAATAGACACTATGGAAGAAAAACTGCATTCATGTTGTGACCCACAAGTAGATAAACGCTTATTGTTTGTATTTGTACTTAAATCTGTGATTAAGCACAGTTATATTCTTCAAACTCAGATTAAATTATGCAGCGGATTTGTTGATTTGCACATAATTATATCAAATCACACTTGTCAGTTACTAGATAGTGCTTTGTGGAGTCATTTCCTAAGGGCAATCCTTTATCTTGTGAA